TAATATTCTGATCATTGCTAATTTAAATTRTTACTAGTATTTACTATCCAAATCCTGTCTAAGCGCAATTTAAATCCAATTAATGAATCAAATCTAGATCTAAGTATTATCCAATTCAATCTGATCCATATACAAGTATCTAGAATTGGGCAGGAGTGAGCATTATTCAGTAGGGTTGCAAACAGAACGGATCGGATACGATAAGGGCATATTCGGTCCGATTCATTAAGAAAATCTGATTGATCATCTGAATTCGATAAGAATTTATCGGATTTTCAAAAGCATGATTCGAATTTGAATTTGAATGTATTATTAGATATTCGATTCAATTAAAATTATATTTATATTATGTAATATAAATAATATATAATATATAATTATATAAATAATATATAAAATATACATATATAATATTTAAATAATATATAATGAATTTCATAATTAATGGATCGGATTGGATTAGCCAATATCTGAATTTAAGTTAACGGACCGGTTTTTCCAATCCAATCCTCTCTTAATGGATCGATATCAAATTCAAATCGGATCTTATCCAACTTGACCCCACCGAGGAACCATTTTCAGTATGACATGTGGCAGTAGAAGAAAATATGCTAACTATCAGGAATTCATGATTTTTGGACTTTCAGCTGTACATGTGAGATGTCAGATCTAAGATCAAGAATTTAGTAAGTAGTAAGTGAATTCACTGAATCTCTTAGTAAACAGTGAGGACACAACTACGGACTAATCTCTAGACCATATTGGCTTTTATTATGTCCGGAGTCCGGACTCCAGACATGGTGCCCCACTACCGTCACGTTTGGTTATTCCCTTCCCCTCTCTATGAAATAAAAGTAGTGTTTTGAAAATCAGATCGAATCGGATGGTTGGATCGGAAAAATTAGGAATCGGTTATTTGATCGGTTTCGTTTTCTTTTAAAATCGYTTTTTCTTTTAAAATTATTGATTTTGGATAATAAATCGTTGAACTGGCCGGTTAATCGTTCGAATTGTTTGAACCGTTCGAACGGTTTTGACTGATTTTCAATTTTTTAAATTTTTTTGTTTTTTTTGTCAAAACGGGCCAACTGTTTGAGTCAAATGATCAGACCATTCGAATCGATAATCAAACCCCTGGCCAGTTCGATCACCGGTTCGTTTTTAAAAACCATGAATAAAAGAATAACTTATTTAGGGGGGAAGAGGCTGAAAGAATTTCAAAGAAACGTATTGGGAATTGCATAAATATACTGTTTTTACTCGTTACATAGAATCTGAGTCAATTTGGATCTTAGAAATTGCTACCGGATTTAATCCTAACCCGGATCATGACCGGCACTAAAATGTCAGAATATAGAATAATAGAATTCCAGCGATGACCCACATATGGTACACTTGACGGATCCCCCATGACCCACAGCCATGCAGTGGTTTTTGAAGGAATTAATTTCTTGGACTCATGTCTATATAAAGTCTAAACATGGTTTTTAAAATTGGACCAAACCCGACGGTCAGATTGGAAAATCAGGAACCGATTAGTTGATTGATTTTGTTTTATCCTAGAATCGTTATTTTGCCAAAAACTATTGATTTGGTCAATAAATCACTGACCCAAGTGGTCGAATCATCCAAACTGTTCGAATCGTCTAATAATTTTGGCTGTTTTTAATTTTTTATCAAAACAGGCCATCCGTTTGATTCAAACGATCAGACTGTTTGACCCGAAAACTGGACCCCTGACCGTTTCATTGTCCGGTTCAGTTTTAAAAACCTTAAGTCTAAATATGTTCTTACATGGTTTAGAACTCAAAACAACTTGACTCAGCTCCCTTTGGACAAAGTCAGTGAGTTAACCCGGACTTGATCAAATAATAAATAATATATTATTTAATATTACTTAATAAAATGATGTTAATGGAAGAATTAACGTCTAACTATATTCAGATATTTTTCTCTAAGCAAAGCCTAGACAATAGTAAATTCAAACACATTATATACTTTGAAAAATAAGTTTTTAAGATGTTAGACGCTTGAAAATTGTTATCAAATACTACCTTGAGCCTTTCATCAAATTCAAATAGGGGTCTTTAGATTATAAGACTGCAAATGGATCGGACTTAATTAGTCTCATTAAATTTCAAATCTGATTTGCTTAATTAAGCAAATCCAACATAATTAAGCAAATCAGATTTACTAATTAATTACTCGTGGATTAGATTTAAATCATATTTGAAATAACCCTATATTGATTAACTAATTAATTAACTCTATATATTATATATCAATCCCGTTGGCAGTTGCTTGTGAATTTCCTTTAGACAGTATGGGTTCATGTTGAATTTGAACACATATGCCACATGGAACTGCATTGTTTACAAAACCAAACCGGATTAAAAAATGCCCAATTTTCTATTAATTTTCGGTTTAATAACGGGTCCAACCCATCAACCTGACCCGGTCCTATTTTTGTGTTTTTAGATTCGATCATCTTCTTGTGTTCAAACATTAATTCTTCCTACGCAATACGCATAGGATATTTTAATGTTTATATGACACATGAGAATAACCTATCAAACCCACTGTTGAACCATTCAAAACCGCCAACTCATTATTTTAGACCAATTGCAATGGGCCATCCATGCCTGAGTCAACTCAGCCGAGTTCTATAGAAGGATAACTCAGCCGAGCTTAGAAAACAAAAGCCCTAAATCAGACTATCCCCAATTTGAGTAGGCCCCCTAACAGAAGCTCCATGTGAAGAACATGTTGATGAGCTGAGAAGATTCAAAGTCATACCACCTCAATGAATTCCAACTTCCAAACCTCRGCAATAAATAAAAGAAAGCGTAACAGTCGTCCAATTTCCTAACACTATTGCCAGATGGCAATTAATGAGAGGAGTTGACTCCAAAAGGTGATCGGAATAAAACTAAAGGGTTTCGGTGGGTCCCTCCTTTCCCAATTCCTACACAAATAAATTTCATGTGCTACAATTCTCTCAGCCACGCTAGCCTTACACGGACGGCCTCACAAATTACAGCTGCTCTCACTTATGAAAGTGTGCAACTGCAACCTCCTCGGCTCGCCAAGGGCCCGAGTTGACCGTTGATGTGAGGTGGCCTCAATACGGAGCGCCGCTCCACACGGCCGACGCTCACCAGCCACTATTTGTTGTGAATTGGATTGTGTGGCTGAGAATGGTACCTGAAAGAGAAAGAAAATGCAGATAAGAACAGTTAGATAGGGTTTACTATTTGCTTACTCAGCTCTCACATGGTGGCTTTTCCAAGGAGGTGGAGAGTCTTAAACAAGAAGCGGCTGCAAATGGGTCGGGTTGGACCGGTTAAGGGATCCGAACCCACATTTTGGGTTGAAGATAAAGTTATATTTGAACCAAAATGTTTTAAAAGAATTGGACTTTTCATTTTTGATTTGATTGTACATTATGTGAATCTACCGTTTTAAGATTTGAAATGAGCTATTGTGAATATTTAATAAAATATTAATAAATTCATATAAAATTATTATGAAACTTATAAAAATAAATACACAGAATAAAAATATATACCATAAATGAAAAAAAAAAGAATTTATCTAAATCCCAAATCCCACTTGATTCTACAGAATTTCAATACTAAAAATTTATATGTTTTTTTTTTAATATGTAATGGGATCGGATTAGATGGATCATATTTTCACATCTGGTTCGATTCATTTATGGCTAAATGGATATATGAATTTTGGCTTAAATGAGTTGAGACCGAATTGCAGCATACGGAGCATATTTTTATCATGAACCAATTTATTGATGTTGCTAAAATTTGACTCCGGATCTCTTGTTCATGTTTACTCACAATACATTATCCCCGTGAATTGGGAATATCTTCCCCCTATATAATATTATGTAGAAAGATGAGATGTTCATGTGTGATTGTGATGTTGTGTGGCTAGATGTGGGTAAAGTTTGTGTAAACAGAAGATCCGGACCACAGCTCTGAAACAATTGGGTGAGTACAGGGTGAGAATCATATTCTTCATCGCCAACCACAACTCTAAATCAAATCTCCGTCCTCAATTTCAATCCACGTCAGGGATTAAAGTTATCCTCTATTTTCAATCCCTCCGTCAGGTTCCCTAAGGTGACCTAAATTCCCAATTTTGTAGTTAAAAGTATTTTTTTTTTTAAATAAATTTGCTTAAAATAGAATGACTTGAAGCTGAACCGGGTTGAAACAGCCAATTCAAACCTGAAATGGATGGTGGGTCGGGTCACATATGACACCCCTAGTGATGCCAGTTCAAATATTGAAGATATCAACAAAAAATATTGATTCTATCCATATATATTCGTAGGCAATTCATTATTCTATTCCATATCAAAGTGTAAGATTAAGTTGATTAACTACTAATTGATTACTTGATCAAGGCTACTTTTTGACATGGTAGATAGTTTGTTTGGTCATAAAAATCAATAAAAAAAAAACAATTTGATCAAGTAATGGCGATATAATATTTGATTAGGTTAACATTGCCGCTATAACAACACTTGGTCATCATCATCACCCTTGATCAAGAATATCAACCAAATCAACAGATAAGGCTGACATTATGCCTTATTGGTCAGAGAAGCAAGACCTAGCAAAACAAAAGAACTAAGGTAAGCATAGCAGCCAGGTATTCGCGATAATTCCAAAATGAATCGTCGGCGTGCAATTAAGAAGGGGTAGGAAACACGAGAGGATTTAGGAGAGAGAAAGAGTATTTTCTAGAGAGAGAGAAGGTCAAAAGGATGGGAGACCATGCACCGTCACTGTGCCGAAAATTAAACTCAACAAAGGTTGTCATGTTTGAGGTTTTCTTCCTACAAAACCTTAGAAAGTCGCGTTTTTTGAACTCGCTCTAAAAAAATCCGTGTGTTGACTTTTATCATTTGAAACGGGATTTCTCTTCCCTCATCTCATATAAAACCAGATGCGCTCTCCTTCCCAAACAACTTCAGAACAAACATTAATCAGCTTCTAACAACTTCACCTCCAACCTTCAATCAGATTCTCAACGCTTCCTCTCAAGTTGGGTCAGGTCTCAACGTTTCATCACCAAAGCTTTCTGGGTTTTCTCTGATTTGGGTTGTTTCAATATACAGCGCTTTCCATCCGTTGAACTTCTGCGTTTTTGCTCTGTTTTTCTTTCTGGGGTATTCTTGAATCCGGATTTTGTTATCTGGGTATTGATTAGAATGGAGGAAATAGATATTGATGTTCCTCCTTACTTTCTCTGCCCGATTTCTCTGGAAATCATGAGAGATCCGGTGACGGTCTCTACAGGGATAACGTATGATCGGCAGTGCATAGAGAGATGGATATTTACTGTCAAGAACAATACGTGCCCAGTCACAAAACAAATCTTGTCAGACGTTGATCTAATCCCAAACCACACTCTCCGACGATTGATCCAAGCATGGTGCATCCTCAACGCTTCCAAGGGAATCGAAAGGTTTCCAACGCCGAAACCGCCCGTCGACAAGGCCGAGATCGCCAAGATACTCAAGGATGCTAAATTGCCACAGTCGCAGATGAGATGCCTTCGGACTCTCCGATCGATAGCATCGGAAAGCGATAGAAACAAGAGATGTATGGAGGCTGCAGGAGTAGTTGAGTTCTTGGCTGCAATAGTTAAGAACGACAACTCTACTTCAATGGAAGACTCAGTGGAGGATGAACTGGAGTTCACAAGAGCCAGTGATGAAGCACTCAGCATTCTTTGTCATCTCCAAATCTCACAAGCCAGCCTCAAGAGCCTCGTCATGAGCAGAAACAGTGAGTTCGTAGAGTCCTTGCTAAGAGTCTTACAACGTGGGAACTACCAATCTCGAGCTTACGCTGCACTGCTATTGAAATCCATGTTTGAGGTAGCCGATCCAAACCAGTTGATCAGCTTGAAACCCAAACTGTTCGTCGAGATCGTGAATGTGTTGCGTGATCAAATCTCAACCCAGGCTTCGAAGGCTGCTCTGCAAGTACTTATCGAGGTGTGCCCATGGGGACGAAACAGGATTAAAGCCGTGGAGGCCGATGCAGTTGCAGTAGTCATCGACCTTCTTCTCGATACATTTGAGAAGAGGGCTTGTGAGATGATGTTGGTTGTTTTGGACCAGCTATGTGGTTGCGCAGAAGGCCGATCGGAGTTGTTGAAGCATAGCGCCGGGATCGCCGTTGTGTCGAAGAAGATACTTAGGGTCTCGCATCTGGCAACCGAAAGGGGAGTGAGGATACTGTCGTCCATATCAAGGTTCTCTGCAACTTCAGGTGTTGTTCAGGAAATGTTGCATCTGGGTGTTGTTTCTAAGTTGTGTTTGGTACTTCAAGTGGACTGTGGCGTCAAGACCATGGAGAGGGCTAGAGATATCCTTAGGTTGCACTCTAGGGCTTGGAAGAACTCTCCATGCATTCTTCCCCGTCTGCGCTCTTTTTATCCATCATCTTAATCCAATATTATCAGTCAGGGAGAGAGAGAGAGAGAGAGACAGAGAGATCATACATTGATTTAGTGTAAATAATTCTTGGGCTGGAGAACAATTTCAAATGCCCACAACAAACATTTAGTGGAGAGAAAGAAATTCTTCAGTTCTTTTAAAGCACTCTCTGTTTTCCATATATATTTGTACTTGGGCTCCATGAGTGGATAAGTTTTTGTTTTTCATGAATTATGATTAATCACTTACAGCAAAGAAAAATGGTTTGAATTTTGAGCAATTCAAATGCATATAGAAATTTAGATTCATGATTGGAATAAACCCATGAATGCTAGTTTTAGATTACTTGGGTTCAAGTTAAGCATGCCCTATCTCAAGGTTTCTGAAATTGCAGTTATGTCAAAACCATCCATTATCAATGGTGGTTTTCTTAATTTTGGTTGTTAAAAAATGCTATATTCTATTAATATCATCTTAATAACATGATTATTTATTCACCCTAATGTTAAACTTCCACATTTTACTAAAACAAGGTTTCTGAAATTGCAGTTATATGTCAAAACCATCCATTATCAATCTTGGTTTTCTTAATTTTGGTTGTTAAAAAATGTTATATTCTATTAATATCATCTTAATAACATGATTATTTATTCACCCTAATGTTAAAAACTTCTCTATTAAAATATAAATTATGTATATTTTTTCTAAGAAAAATTAAGTTAATGATCAAAATGGTTGAAAGGGTAATGAACAACCAAGGTTCCCCAAATATTGACTGATATTGCAGTTAGTTCAAATCTCAACTAAATGATAATTTCTTCCTTTATATGTAAACAAAGTAAAGATTTTTCTATGTCATGATTTATATTATTCTCGTGAGAAATAGATGATGTGACTCCATTGAAGAAGGATGCTAAACCTGGATATAGGAATGCAAACGGATCGGATTAGATTCAAATTAGTGTATATTCGAATCCGATTTGACATTCTTCATGTTAGATCCAATCCGAAATCCAATCAGAGCTGATAGGACTATCTGAACTCGATATCAGATCTTTGGCTCTTTGGATCTTTGGGTCTGATTTGATTTGATTTGTTTTCTTTTAAATTAATAAAATATTAAAAGAAAAAAATAAAATACACCAATTTAAATGAAGAAAAAATAATATAAAAATATTTTTAATTATTTTCATCATATTTACATGTTTTTATAAAAAAATAAATTATATATATATATATTATATTTATTTATATTTATAAATATATAATATAACACGCATTGGATTGGATCTTCTCAAATCAGATAGGGATGATCCGAATTTGACCAAATAGGATCAGATCGGGATCCGGTCATTTGCACCCCTAACTGGATGAGAGGGGATAATCAAAGAGATAGAGATGCCTGGAGGGATTCAGTGTTGTATATGAAGGTAAGAGTTGTAATTGTTTTTCATTACTTTGATAAATTCAGCAACCACTTAATGGAATTGTATCTACATGGTCAACATCTCTTAATTAAATCAATACTGTTGAACAACTACAATCCTACTCCCTTCATTTAATGGATTTTGACAAATCAAAATTCAACTGCGGTGCAAATAGGGCTTATGCCCTCCTTCATTGATTGAGAGGAAAAGGGAAAGCACCTTCTAGATAGGATCAATACATCTAGCTAGATTCAATTGCCAAATAGACTATTAACTTTTCTTAACTTGTTGAAAATGGCTGATCCTGCTTGACGACGCTTTAGATTGGCAAAGCCCACTCTACAAAGTTYGGCTTCCATCTGGACAACATCCGTTAGAGCAGTCTTTACAGCCTTGCGTTGAGAATATCTTTACACTTATATGCTTTATTTTATGAAAAAATATTTTCSATATAAGATTGCAAAAGGCCGTTGGGACAGTGTGAGCACGGGCTTGCTCTGACCGAGGCCGATCTCCATTCTACATTTTGAAAAGGAAGGCTTCCTTTTTTATGAGGGTGGGTGGCGACTGTTCTTTAGCAATTTGTGCGTACATCCATGTATGTATGAACCCCATGAAATTCACTAATCTATAGCCCTCCCCTTGATCCAATTTTGATTGTAACAAGTCCCACTGTATCATATATCCTTCAATTGGTTTCAGCCCTACCCCCACCCATTCAAAAATACTTATGAAACCTTTTGGTATTATTATTAAATGAAATATTATCCATCATTATTTGTTTAAAAATACTTATGAAACCTTTTTTAGTTACAGAAGGTTAAAGTGGTCAATAACGGTCAAGATTTCCTACAATTTTGACTTATATTTCTTTTTTCTATACCTTGGTTAATACATCTATGTTTAAATGAGAATTTCCTCTATTGGCAGAACTGTGGTGGTCTTTGTTTTAATTATTTATTCTCTTAATTTGTTAGAAGTAGATGGCATGACTCCATTAAGGAAGGATGCAAAACCAAGCAGCTGGAGATCGAGGTTATAAGATTTGGCATTTGCTTTCCTTATTTTTTATCAGAAATCATCGTATGAGTCGACTGAATAATGGATCCCCAGCCACAAATCTTGCATCCCTTTGTTCAACAAATGCTGACCAATAACCATCCAACCCACATTATTTAAGACATGTTGACCAATCAYAGATCAGCACCTTCTACTCAGAGCTAGAGCCAAGTTGACTCATCTAGAGAGAGAGAGAGTTCCAAAGATTAATTATCTGACATATCTGGTGCCTCAGTTCTCTCAGCTGGTTTCATGTCTAATACATACAAACCACCCATTCAAGGCTCCCATAGTACTTATCCAGAAAAAAAAACCAAGGCTCTATAGCAATCTGTTGTTGAACATTTCCACTATGGAATCGATCAGAGTTTTAAGTGTCAAATTTTAGTTCAATGAAAAAGTCTAAAAGGTGTTTTCTTTTGCCACGTCTGTGGGTGAGGCTGGTAAGTTGAACATGATGAGGTGACCCCACATAAGCTGATAAAATTTCTAATAAAACAAACAAACAATACAAACTGAAACTAGAATGTTTCTGAACTTCGATTTTTGACTATTCACCTGGAATGATGGTAGAAACGTTTTCATTTTTAAGCCAAAGAATGATGAAAAGTGAAAACAAGGGGTTATCATGTAGCCTATGACCTGAGTTTTTTCCAAAACAAGAATAAAAAAACAGAAGTCTGTTTGGTTTGCAGTTGAAATCGGAATTAAAATCCTTTGAAATTAAAATCGGAATAATCTATTTTCATAGTTTATTTGATTTAGACAAAAATGAAAATAGGAATTAGAATCGGGAGGAATGAGAGTTCAATTCTATTCAAACAAACAGTTAGAATTGGAATAACCCCTTTCATTCCGATTTCAAATTCATATTTCCTAAAAACCAAACGGGGCCTTAATTTTGTCAAGTATAAGAACGATAAAATTACCGATAAATCTCTCTCTCATATGCACTTCCACTAATAGGTCAGGTGATATACAAAATCAATGGGGTGACACCAAAGTGAGTGTCAGGACCTTATAAAGCACATGTAGACAAATGGATACATTAGTGCTGATGTGTTTTCAGTATAACCACTCCCTTTTTATTTTTGTCTGTKTGTGCTTCAATTCATGGCTTGTGACACTAGAATTTGTTCATGGAGGGAATATCTTTAATACATAAAAAGCCTTGGCTTCAGGCCACCGTGAGAAACATCGATCTTAATTCATTTCTTTTTCTTATCCCCATTCTCTCTCCATTTAGGCTTCATTTGGGACGGCTTCTACAAGTGGGATGAGTTACGTTAATTCAACCATTTTGATTGCAGCACCCATGTTCCAAAATGACGTTTTGGATTTTCATTAAACAGAATTAGGGTTGTAAATCGGGCCAGGTTAGGTCAGGTTGAGGTCAATCTTAGTCAAATTCTATGTTTTAAACCCTCAATCCTAACCCTAATTCAATTCGACCTTCAACCCGACCTGCCCAACCCTAACCCTAATCCTAACCTTAACCCTAACTAAATTTTTTCAACTCTAACCCAATCCAACCTTTTTCCCATCCCTTAAAATCTTGTAGAATTTCTTAATCTTAGATCTTAACTCAACTTTTTCATTACATATATTAATTCTATGTTTTTTTAGTATTTGTTTGTTGATGTTTTTATTGGTTCTTTAAGTATAAAATTCAGAAAAAAAGTGTTTGAGATGAGTATTGATGAAGGAAGATTTGGCCCGACCTCGCAAATCACGCCACGTGGCAAAAAACAAGTAGCTCGACACTTGAAACAGCATACCGAGGGTACAAAACACCGAAGGGGAGAGACCAGCGGTCCGAACTCCCCTCGAGGAGACCGAACTCCCCCCGAGGAGACCAACTCCCTAAGAGGAGCCCGAACTCCCCTCGAGGAGACCAACTCCCCAATTAGAGCTCGAACTCCCTATGAGGAGCCCGAACTCCCCACAAGGGGCCCGAACTCCCTACAAGGGGCCCGAACTCCCTACAGGGGCCCGAACTCCCTACTTAGAACTCGAACTCCCTACAAGGGGCCTGAACTCCCTACAAGGGGCCCAAACTCCCTACTTAGAGCTCGAACTCCCTATGAGGAGCCTGAACTCTCCCTTTGGCCCCGAGTCACACAAAGTAGAGACCCGAACTGGCCCGTCTCATGATAGTTCGGGACACCCCCCTATCCGAACTCAAGACCGCCTCGCGCACCGCTCCAGGCACTTCGCCTCCAGAGCATTGAATTGGACGAACCACACCGTTCCTAACACCGAAGGAGTCCGTATCCAGGGGCGGCGCACCTGAATGACTTGGGATCTGACGCTTGACGGCAGCACTTCAACGGCCACCTGCCACCATCACCTGCCACCGCCATCTCCAGTTATAGAGACGGCTCTGACAAAAAGAGCAGTGACGGTTCTACCCCAGTAGAGGCAATGACGCCCGAACTGGCAGAAGCACGGACATAATCATTCCCGACCTGACAAAAGTCTAGGAGTGAGTGCGCGAGGTGGTTATAAAAGGCTCTCCACCCCCCAGAGAGGAGGTATGCAAACTTTGCGCTATCTGGTTTTATCTTTCCTTTGAAGGATTCTAACTTGAGCCTCGGAGCTTTTACACCGGGTTCCCCCCGGAGCTTCCTCCTCTCCTCCGTTTCAGGTTCCCTGCTACTCAGTTCAGAGGCAAGGTCGTTGACAGCTAAGACCGGC